CAGCCACTAAAAATAACATTCTCTAAACCAGGAAACCCCAAGTTACTTTGAAAATTGACATGTGAGACAGTGTAAAGAATCTAAGGTCAAGACATGGAACACCTGCTGCTGCTACCATCCCTATCCTATAATATATCCAATTTATGTTAATTCATTCACGCAACAAAACTGTTTTGAGAAAACAGGATTACCTAAGTTAAATATAGAAATGAGTCCTATCTCCTTCTGTTGTACATGTATGGGACTCCCAGCCAAGGAGGCCATTACAACTAATAGCATTTGGCTTTTTGGACAAAAAGGCCATCATGCCGTACACCCTGAACTCTGGTACTTGGCTGTTGAGTGTCTGAGGACAAACTATGGGTCTGTACGGGATGGTACTGATTTCAACAGGGGTCAGCACAGAGGACACATTTCCTTTGCTTTATTAGCTTCACTTTACCTTCTTTGGCTACCAAGGAGGAAGATATTTTAAAAACAAACCCCCAACTTTCAAGCAAATTTGCTCAGTTTGGCACGTGATGATGAGAAAGATATTAACAGCTGGTTCTAGGCTCTTGCTTCACTTGCCTTCAGGCATTCAATCAGTTTTTCCCAATGTTTAGTTCAGATCTCATTCAGATCTTCTTTCCACATTACAAACAAAAAGGAAGAAACAAGTGATTAACTAACAGCAAATATAAATAAAATAACATTTCATAATTAAGGGTATTGAAAACCTATTTGGTGTTTGTACACCAAAATGGAAACATTTGAGAAGCAGATATACCAATATAAATATATACCGAGCGTAACTTGCTGACGGACTGTGACTTGCTGATGCAGCTTTTTAATGCACCAAACCCAACAATTCTGATCTTGGTTTCCCTTTAAAAAAGCATAACAACTGAAGTACAGGGTTTCATTCTTATACCTGATAAGCCGTAGAACAATGCATTTCATAATTCAATGCTTTTTTACCAGTGACAAGGAAGAATTCTCCTTTGTTGTTTCTAATCAGCTGCTGGTAATCACTGGGAGATACCAGATTTTTCCAGTGACATTTTCAGAAATAATGGAAGAAAACCAAGAGAATTAAGGAAATAATTTATAAACAAACTTGTAGAACACTTTTGAAAACTGGCTGCTGTTGTACTGAATTTAGAAGAGCAAAAATTTTTGTCCTGGAGTCAAGCCTACACAGTTCTTTACTAATTAAAACCAAATACCCATTCTCAGGTCCTGTTTCTTTTCTTCTCCTTCCTTTCTTTCAACCATTTGTACTTTAGTAAGTAGAGCATATCTAAAAATTTCTGGATTCAATGTGAAAAGGGCTGGGTTTCATCCCTAAACTCTATTTGTCTTTCTTACTTTGCTAACTGCATAGCACGCCTAAAATTTATAGCAATCAATGAGGCACTACTGACTAGTGCTACATGGTCAGAATGACTGATTTTAGGTGTTTATAGTGCTGGAACTGAGCATGACATAGCTCAGATTCCTTAAATTTATCCAAGGTCAAATACACCTTGTTCTTTTTCAGCAATGATTGACAGTAATAAAAAAAGAAGCATTTATTTTTAGCCATTCACATCAGATACATGTGCTTTTACAAGTATTTGTATATTGTTTTTCCATAATGCCGCTTAATTCAACTGTAGTTGTAAGCAACTGAGCTTTTCTGACCTAGCACCATTGATTCAACCTGAACTTTGTATTTAACTGTGTGGCCAGAAGCCAAGTGCAGTTGCTGATTCCCTTTGACTGTCAGTCTTTGATGAAGCTGGCTTCTTCAAGCACTGTCATCCATGGTGTCAGCCTTCCTGGGATAGTGAGTATCACTCTAGAACTTTGCTCGTAAATGCTGGTGTTAAGTAATTGCTGATCTATTCTAGAGAGTTCGTAATTTTTTACTTGTTTAGTTTGTGTATAATGTTAGATGAGTGATGAAACCCTGAAATTGTCATACTGGATTACAGCAGAGATCCTTCACAGTCAGAAGCCAATACTGGATCATTCAGAAGAAAGTGCAGTAAATGGTGGTCAGTTGCCCGGGCAGCTGCTACCTTCTGCTTCTCTTAAATGGAATAAGATTTATCCCCCGAAATATGAAAGCAAATATATATTCCAAACCATTCAACTTTTTCTTCTCTTTATTAAGGAGCCTGCCTGTGTCTGTAACCTGTGGTTATCCCCTTTCTTCTCCCAGTCATACCAAGCTCTTTACTTCAATGTTCTTTATATAGTACATTTAACAGAAATTTCTTTTCACTGCATTCAAACTTACTTCCTTTCAGTATCATGAAAATTCTTGGTCACAGGTGTTCAGCTCTCCCAAATAATTTGCTAATATTGTATGTCACTTTTTGTCTCTAATATGTCTGTTCTTATTAATCTCCAGTCCAAATTCAGCAGCCCCAATGGTTCAGTATGGCAGTCTCTTCCATGCCTCTTCTTATTTTGCCACTGAATCTTACTGCATTTCTGCTGGTTTTGTCTTAAATCCGTGCTGCCCAGACTTTCTGCTTTCTATTGCCCCTCTTCTCAAGAACTCCTCAAACTCAAGTGTGGTGCCATCTGTCTTAGGGTTTCCCCACTCTTTCTCCCATCCCTTGATCTGATGTGTATCTGCATCTCTTGCCCAGGTAAGATAAGTCTGCTCTTGCCAGAAGTCTTCATCCAAACCCAATCCTGCTACTAAGATGCTCTAAAGAAAGAGAAAAAAACAGGTTGGATGAATTTCAGAAGTGAGCCACGAACAGCCCAAGGATTGTAGAATTGAGCAATTTTTTTTAGACAGAATACTCAGAAATGGACCTGACATGACAGGTTTACTATTGTTTTATACAGTGGAATTGTAAGCTTTTAAGTAACATGTCTATCTTTTTTGCTCTTTAAATTATAGTCATCAAAAGTTTGTCCAAAGATCTTTGGAGGAACATGGAAGTGGGATGTTTTGCATGTGGCTTGGAAAGGAGAGCTATTTTCAACTTTGTGTTAGTAACAAATGGATACATAAATCTGCATGATTAAAATATAAAGGGAGTTCTTTTGCTCCCATCACAGTCACCAGACAATGATTTAAGATGAGTTTACAATCTGGGCTGTGGACCAGCAAATGATTACATTATCTGGTGGTTTCACGCAGTCCCGGTGATGCAGGTCTTGAGCACAGAGAAGTCCCCTGCCCTGGCAAGGAAGACGTGCCCCACCACTGGCAGTCACCCAGTGGCACGCACAGCCACTGCGTATCCTCTGTGCTGGTGGGCTCTGCGGGCAGCTGCAGCTAGGCATCAGCTCCAGAAAAGAGTACCAGCTCCTGTACTTACAGCCTTCCTTACATCAGGAGACGAGGTACAACTGCAATACTGCAGTCAGGAGATGTGCCATCTGTCCTGTAGCTGGACATTGCCAGAGGCATAACTGCCAGTCCAACATTCCTGCCGGCGCATTGCTGGAATGTGTGTGACCTGGGTTGTAGCTCAGATTTGTTCCTAAGGCTGTGCCAGTGCCCGTCTTGCTATACACACCTTTTTAGCAAAAGGGACATCATCCATCCAGCACAGTACAAGTGGCTGCTAATAACCTGCTTGCTTTCCTTGTTTAAATATTCCTAGCTTGTTGGCCTTCTGGAGCTACTCGAGAGTCCATAAGACTAAGTATGGAAGGGCGAAGCACCTCAGTGTAGGATGTTTGAGGAAAGGAATATGAGGGGTGAGGAGGCTGTACCATGGTTTGTGATGCTGGAGCATCTGTAGAAGTCATGATGAGGGAGGGTTAAAATGCTTCATTTCTCTTTTGAAAGTATTTTGAGGCATTTTGGTTTACTTTCCCTTTGAACTGGTAGCAGGGTTGCCTGCTGCTTGGAACTGACATTTTAACTGTTACATTTGTTTAAATCCAATCTGGGATAATTGAAAAAAAATTAGTTTGGCACAGGAAAATTAGGCACCAGATTGTGCCCTGATGTTGACTATACATGGAGAATATACTTGACAGCCTTCTCCTATAAGCATTCAATAAGAATCAGTGTAACACGACTCAAAAATAGTAAAAGTTGAAAATTACCTCAGAGTGCAATCCACAAATAACTGACAGGATTGGGCTCAAAAAGAGAAAGTATGTGTAGGATTTAGCACAGATTCTTCAGCAGCAGATACTTTTGGGACATGTCAGTTGACATTCATAAGTCTCCAGAATAACCAGGGGCTTCGTGCAGGACATCACAGATACCCCAATTAGAAGTCCATGTCTGTGAACGTCTTGAGCCTTCATCCAAGTGGTCAGGTATGCCAGCGGCGGCAGCAGCTCCCTGGCAATGTGATTTCAATGACAACCTATGTCAGACTCCTACGCTGTTAATTGTCAGTGCAAATAAAACTGTTCTGAGGTTGGTGTAATATGCCAGGTTTGGACACCAATCTTTTCAACCTGTGCACAAGACAGACTGAAGGGAACTCCACTGTTTCACAGCAAGGAAGTCCTTTCAGGTCTGACTGGTCTGTAGTTAGTGTAACACAAATCACATTGTTTTGCTTATTACCTGGGGTACAGATATTTGTACAAACTAAGAAAACTGGAAGCATCCCCCTAAGAAGGGAGCTGCAGCAGTCTAGAGAGGTGCCTTCCGACTTAGAGAGGCCTTTGGTTCAGAAGGTACCAATAAAGCAGTGGGAATTGCAGACAGCACCTCAGCAAGGGGTTTTCAGGGAGGAATTAAAGGGATTGCGACATGTGCTCTTGATGTAGCAGGGTCTCTCTCTGCTGTAGGAGGGGCACGGCTTGCTCACCTGCATGACCCCTGCAACCGTTGTGCCCATACCCAGCACTCGGTGCAGTGCTTTCCAATGCATGGCCCAGCTGGCCGTGGAGTGTTCTCATTGTACACGTGAGCTGTGATGGCCCTGAGGGTACCACCCTCACGGGGACCTGGCTGCCTGGTCTCACTTGGACCATCAGCTCCTCACCTTTGGTACGTCTGGTGCGACAAGCAAGGAGCTGGAACATGTGGAGTCCGGACCATGTGGAAGTGGTTCTCAGGAACCATTCATCTTGCCCTGCTGCCTATCCTCCAAGAGGAGCCAGAAAATCTCTGCAGGAACTTGGAGCAGCCCTGGTCAGGTGAAGTCCATAATTCTCTTCTGGAAGCTGGAGGGTCACGGAATGGCCCAGGGCATTCAGATAGTGCCCCAGCATGGATAGGACAAGCTGGCTTACAACCAGCACCTGCCTTCAAAGGGAAAGGCACCACATCAGCCTTGCCCACCTTTGCAATACCTCTGATTCCTGGCCCCTAGTTCATCCCAGTTAGACCCAGGAAAGGACCTGGTGGCAGAGGGCTAGACGGGCAGATACAGTAGTGGGCTGGAGACCCACAGTGTAGGAGGGAGCCAGGTGCCCCCCATTTCCAGCTGCCAGCCCTGAACCCTTGACCAATTGCCACCTCATGAGCACTGGGAACACCTTGAGTTTCCAGACTAGAAAACATGAGCTGCTACTGCATCTGGACCCAGAAGAGGAAAAAACATGGCAGCGCATAAACATCTCCATTTAACAAGCTGTTGGAGGAAGACTGAGAGCCCACTCCTAGTAGGTGATGGTAACATTTGTGAAAAGATTTTTGCCTTCCGTGAAAAGAAGAGCAAACCTATTGTTTCCCCCCCATTTGGGCAAGGGTCTCTGGAGTTTTCAAAGAGCTGGACTAATTCCTTTAAGATGAAATTTGATGCAATGTCAAATGATTTTCTCTTCAAAACCCGTTCTTCTAGAAAACAGATGATGGAGAAGAAGATGAATAATTTATTATTCACTCATTTAAACAGAAGCTGTTGCCAATGGTTTAGTCAGATGCAGTGCCTTTGGCCAGTAAAGATAATAAAGGAATAAAGGATTAGTCATCAATAGTGCACTGAAAGAAAAAGGTCAAGATTTTCATTGATCTAAATCCAAAAGGCCAGGTTTTGTTCTGTTACTCTAAAATAGCGGCTGTCAGTTCCCCTTTGATTTTCACACTGCACAATAATTCCAGAAGAGATGCAGACTCCTCCATGGAACCTATTATATGTCCCCACTCTGCCATCAGGAATAGTTTATGCACCCTCAAGTACCTATGTTGTACAAGCTGACAAATGCTGTATTAAAACAAAGGCTTAGAGCGTTGTTCAGATACAAAGAACTGAATCTGGCCTCTTGATTTACAGACCTAAGGAGATTTCCTTGGAGGAGTTGCTCCTCAACAAAGATTCTTGGATGAAATCCTGACTTGGATTTTCAAAACTGCTGTGAGCGGGATTTCAGCAATGCCAGGATTTCACTCCCTCAACAACAACAAAAAAGCTGATGTCTCCTGGCTCCCTGTGATTGTACTTACAACTTGCATGCAGGTTCTTTCTGTCCTGCATCCACTGCACCCATGGTAGATAGGTCTGTGATTGATTTTTGCCCTCCTGTTACTGCAAGATAAATCACCTTTCAAGGGCCTATAACTTTTCTCTCACAACAGCAGCATCGAGAAGCACCATGGCAACAATCAACTTTGCTGGGAGCTGAGAAATGCCAGCTCATGCTGGAAGCTTATGTTTGCATCAGCTGTAAAAACTAAGAGACTCTCAAATGTGCCTGGTTTTGACAAAGGATAAAGTAGTGCAAGTCCCACTCCGATCTGGTGTATAAATTCCCCTACCAAACTCACTTTGTGTGGTTTGATATCATTCTTTCTTCTATACACTTTGCTTCCTTGGAGTTTCCATTTGCAAGTTTCTCACTTCTTCTCATCAATGTTCAGGACCAATTTGTCAATTTTGCTTCAGCAGGCAGGTCAGATTGCTAAAGGTGCTACTTCTACCTCCAGCATCCCACTCCCAAAGGGCAAAACCAACGATTAATGGTAACATTGTTCCAAAGAGCATTCCTTTCCACACTGTAATAAATACAACAGATGTGATACCACTGTCTGAAAAATATCTTCCATATCCCTTAGATTTCACAATATTTAGAAACATTCAGCACTTCTATACCGCAACTGTCTTAATCTGTTTTACCTTGCTTTGGAAGGCAGTGAATACATTAACACATTGGTGCTTGTACTCTGCATACTCACTTTCAGACATGCTTAGTATGATTTAATCTAAATTTTTAACACTATGACATTTTATGCCTCAGCTTGCTTAAGTTGGCATTGGCAACCCGGGATGTGGATTACTTACCAACAATACCTACATACTGGTATGATGGGCACCATCCAAAGCCCAAGAGGGCAAAAGAAAGGAATTAAGAGTGTAGATTTTACCACATACAGAACCTAATCGGACAGGTAAGAAAATACTTAGCACATATGAACATAACTCTCCATTCCACTCCCCTAAGGATGATACCGGTTGTCCAAAGTGCAAGAGGGATACACCCCCTTGAACCAAAGATATACGGAAATTAGAACTATACAAGCACAAACTATTTGCTCCTACACACGTTAATGCCAGTGTTAGCACTGCTTTTGCCTAAGGAAGTCTTAGGTGCTGGAGCTACATGGAAATCTCAGTGTTTTGCATATTAAACTTAGGGGTTTAGCTCTTCTTATTTTAAACAAAAGTTTGAAAGCATGGAGGAGAGGCATGGACTGGAGGCAGAGCAGCTTCGCCAAGCTGCCAACAACATTGCTCTGCCTCTGCATCAAAGTGTATCACAGAGCTGCTGTGTTTTGGAGATGTGCAGAAGTCTGTGAGAGGAGCAGGAGAGGCTGGGAAAGGGGATTACAGCTTAGGCACTATACTGCAGGGAATGAGAGTGCCAGAAGAGTCTCAACACTGCCTTCAACTCCATCTGCTATCATGGCTTAAAGCCCTCAGGAATTGGTCCTTGTAGTAGGATCAGGAACGTCTTCTCCGTAACAGACCTCCTCCACAGTGCTTGTGGCATAGCGATGCTCATTTGGGGAACCAATATTGCAATGGTACTGCCTCTCACTACTTTGGTTTGAACATTAGTGTGTCTATGTGCCTCCACAGCATCCTTTGCTCAGCCTGGCACATTACAGCAAGGTCTTCAAATGAAAAATGCTGCTTGTGGGCATAAGTTCCTCAATTTACCAGTAAGGGAAAAGGAAGGCAGAGAGAAATTCCTGAGGTGGCAGTGAATCTGGATGAGATTTCTAGCCTCCCACCTTGTGTGCAGTCCTGAAGGACCAGAAAAATATTGGTATCTGCCGTATTTCTTGTTCCCACTAGTTGCTGATCTTACTTTTTTGCAGTTGTTCCATTTATTTTATCCTTATTAAGCTTTTCCATATTCTGTGTTTTGTTAATAGTTTTTTTCCTTACAGCAGATAAATTGCAAATGCAATGTTATCATAAATAACATGCTGACTTTGTTTTCTTATCTACCTTAGGACATTTATTTACCCCTTCTTCACTAGAGGCAGACCTTTCCCACTGCAATTGCTTTTCTTTGGCACGTTATTCTGTATCTATAATGGCTTCCTCCAGGGATACTACCTGATTTACTGCGCTGAATATCCAAATGACTGGTGCACTGACATCAGATTTTCTTCAGGTAATTACAGCTGCAGGATTCCCAAGATCTAATCTCCAAGAAATTTGTAAACATTTTGAATTACGTCCTAATTTTCATTGCACGTGAGTCAAATCAGTTGTGATGGAAATCAGCATAAAACCTGCCTGCTGGCCCAGACAGAACAACTAAATGTGCAATTCCTTCTTTTTCTGCTAGGCAGTCACCTTTGAAGGGGTACAACGTTAATGTGTTAGTCTCAAATCACCAGCCTTGTTTTATTGACCCCACTCCAGAGCCTCCTGCTGCTAGAGGCTGTGGAGTTGCAGTCTCAGGCCTCAGCTGCATGGGGATATGTTCTTGCTCAGCCAGAAGTGTCCACCCAGCAGTGGTTGTGTGCAAGCGCAAACTGCCTTTCTCTTCCCCAACAGGGAGCTTTGCACTTTGTGCATCTATTCTGACCAAGAGAGAAAAGATGGGCAAAACCCCAGCATAAATGAGGCTTTACAGACAAAGAGCTCTTTTTTCTCATATAAGGCTTATAGGAAGATCAGAGATCATGCACAGTCTGTTTGTATGTTAATATGGTTTCTTTCTACTCTGTAACTTAATAGCCTAACTGAATTTCACCCTGTAAAATCCCTGAAACAATAACTGAGCAAGAGCAGCGAGGTGGCATTATACATTAGGTGCTACACAGAGGATGTTTTTTAAATGCACACATAGAAATGAAGATTAGCATGGAGGTCTGAGGAAATGTTTTGGATATGGCAAGTACAAAATAACCGGGGTAATTTTTGCACCCTGTTTCAGACATCACATATTAAAAATCCTGAACACTGATTAGTCATATCCACATCACATAATTTGCATGATGACATATATTTAATAAGAAAAAAAAATCTACATTATCAGTACTTGAAATAATAAATAAAAACCAAACAGCATGTTCTTTCTCTACAGACTCTTACCAACTTTCTGTTGCTACTGGAAGTGATGAGGTTTTATCAGCACTTAGTTTTTTTTCTATACTTTGTAGCACACAATGCCTCTGTTTCTTTCCTTGCTTCCCAATTCATCATCAGAGATGGTTTTCCCAGTGTCTAATGTAGCATGTAGGACATGTCACCTGAAGAGCTTCTCAATCTCTAGTTTTTCAGCTAAATGGAGTATGCTCAATGAATCATTCTGGACAGAAGCTGTCAGCATCCTTCAGTGAGTGACTGCTCCATGTGCATGCCCTTGGCTCTGCCCAAGCAACCTCACTGTCAGTGGACTGAGCTGCACTGAGACACAGGCTGCCTTCCTGGGTCTGCTGATGTGCAGCATAAGTTTGTGTTCTCTGTGCTCCTCTCTCCCTAGCTGTAAAATGAGAGGTATGGTGCTTGCCTACAGCTCAGTTGTCACCTTGCAGTAATGTCCACAGCTGTGGCTGGCTGCCATCAGCTATCAGTGACACTTGGGTACTTTGTGCCCTAGCTTCAATAAAGGGTGACTATGGCCAACTAGGAAGTTCAGCTTTTTCTCACACCACCCGAAGTGCTCTGGTCTGGTACTGCTTTCAGCTCTGGGGCCCCAACATAAGAAGGACTTGGAGTGAGTCCAGGGGGGCATGAATGTGATCAGAGGGCTGGAGCACCTCTCCTATGAGACAGGCTGAGAGAGCTGGGGTTGTTCAGCCTGGAGAAGAGAAGGGTCAGGGTGACCTTATTGCAGCCTTCCAGTACCTGAAGGAGGCCTACAAGAGCGCTGGAAAGGGACTTTTTATAAGAGCAAGTAGTGACAGGACAAGGGGATACGGCTTTAAACTGGAAAGAGGGTAGGTTTAGATTAGACATTAGGAAGAAGTTCTTCACCATGAGGTTGGTGAGGCACTGGAACAGGTTGCCCAGAGAAATTGTGGCTGCCCCATCCCTGGAATTGTTCAAGGCCAGGTTGGACGGGGCTTTGAGCAACCTGCTCTAGCGGAAGGTGTCCCTGCCCATGGCAGCGAGGCTGGAACCAGATGTTCTTTAAGGTCCCTTTTAACCCAAATCATTCTGTGATTCTATGGTCTCGTCAACAAAACTGTGTGCTCAGGATGGTCATTGTTTTGCCCAGAGTTGCTCTCCACACTGAAGCTATCCAATGCAGGTGATCTCAGAGGACTGTGATCCCACAACTGACACAGTGATATAGGGTTATTTATCACCAGTCACCTATGCTTCTCCTGTTCAGTAGCCTTCTCAGTAGCAGAGCATCTTTAGACTTGAAAAAGAATCCACTCGCCTCATATTAGGTCTCCTATCTGCCTTCTCCGAAGATAAACCTTACATATGTGCCTGAGTAGAAATAACTAGGCAGAGCTGTCTTTCTAATCCATTTCTTGTTTGTTTCTTAGGCCTCCTCTTATTTCTGCTGGGAATGGGAATCAACATCCACAGTGATCTCCTGCTGCGCCAGCTGAGGAAACCGGGGGAAGTCACTTACAAGATTCCTCAAGGTATATTTTCATCCCCCACCCCCTTGGAGAAAGTAGGCCATCAGGATAGATAATGTTTTCTGACTGAACTCACAGCAAAGTGACAATATCAGAGATGCCAATGTTGCACAAGTACTTGCTTTAGGTGCCCCTCTGACCTGCAGGGTCTAGCATGAGCTTTCTGCAGACAGTCTGCAAGCAGCAAACAAGAGTACGTGGAACACACAAGCTGTTTGGAGAGGTGCTGGAAGCCTCTGGGTTAGAATCACCTTTGATTCTGGTACAAGAGTCTCGTACAAGACCCTCCTTTGGCATGATTCCAGTAGTTTCAGGGCAGTGGGTTTAGGTTGCTGTTATGGGCTCTACATAAGAAAGGTGGCATATTCTGATGCTGGCTTTATGGGAAAAAGCTTTCCATGTACATTAAATTATTGTAAAAATTACATCTTTTGTCTGTTGATGCAGGGGGACTGTTCACCTATGTTTCTGGAGCCAACTACTTTGGAGAAATTGTGGAATGGTTTGGTTTTGCCATAGCAACCTGGTCCTTACCAGCCTTCGCCTTTGCCTTTTTTACTCTTTGTTGCATCGGGCCACGTGCTTATCACCACCACAGGTATCAAATTGTTCCTGCCATATACTGCTGCTTGCTCTTGGAGTGCAGATTGCAAAATGCCAGGGAGGAGCAGAGGAGCAGGACCAGTGTTCAAGATAAAAATGAAATTTAATAGTATGTGCAAGAAGTATATTAGTTTGTTTGTGACTGAGTGAAAGTAAAGGCAGTGGGCTGGAGCTTCTGTTGAGCCAAGTGGGCCTGATTGATAGCCACTTAATCTGATATAAATTACATCACTGTTGAAGCCCCTTTTTTCTGAGCCTTGGAAATGTGAACCTTTCCTAAGGGTTTCTTTGCAACTTCTGCAGTCTTTTGGAGTATATATGGTTCTGTGCTTTGAGTTCCTAAAGTTTATACTTTAGGACTGTTAGGACCTTAAGAGTATTATCAGCTTTCACTTAATTAAATAACCTGGTGTAAATACTTTTGGAACCTTCTTTTGCACAGTAACACACAGATTTTAAAGCAAGGCAGATTGGAGGAGTTTTAAGGTTCCTCAGCTGAGCTGTATTGAAACTGTGCAGTTTCCTTGTATGTGTGCAGGTTCACTCTCTTGCTTATTTTCTTTCAGGTACTATCTCAAGACATTTACGGACTATCCAAAATCAAGGAAAGCCTTGATTCCTTTTGTTTTTTAATGATGAGAATATGGACTCTGTGTTCTGTTTTTATAGGGCTTTTTTCAATTCCTAGTTTTAATGTTAGGTCTGACTGTAATTGATTGTACAAATGGTAACCTGGGTTTGTAACAGACAAGAAGGTAATCTGGAGCTGAAGTTCATGTTTTTAATTACAGGGGAAATTGCAAATAGTTGTGGGCAAAGGGACTCCCTAGACAACATGTTTGTTTTCAGTGGAGTTCTGCCTACAGAAAATGGATATATGACTGCGCTGACATCAGAGAAAAAGCATTTGCTAGAAACTCATGCTGAAAAGTATAAAGTAAGCCCATGATTTCAGAGAAAGTCTTCAGCAGCCACTCCAATGTACGGCACTTCTGCAGCTGCTTTATCCTGCCTCCATGCCATAGCACATGTGCCCTTGCCTTGCCAGCACTGCCTAGGTGTTGCCACACTTTAAACCAGAATAGTGGTCTCCTTCGCCAGGAAAATAACTCAGAAGTTATTTTTCATCCAAAAGCCAGCTCCCCAAATTATAATGCAACAAGAGGATACTTGCGACAGCACAAGGCTGGGAACGGTGTGCCATGGCGCAGAGGCGATGCAAAGTACACAGAGATGAAAATATCTTAAGCTGGCACTCACAAGCACAATGTCTGTGTTCCTTCATTAAGCAATACTCTCCTCACTGTCAGATGATTAATCTTCAGCCATCAGGTTTGTTTATTCAAATGTACTTTGTTAAAGCAATTACATCTCCATTAGGATCTTTTTCTTTTACAAATCCAGAGCTCTTTTCAGAGTAAAAATCTGTCCACTCAAACCCACCCAATTGTTATGCATAAGAAGACTTGAGATGGTGTTATATGACAAAAATTGCAACAAACATAAAACTCTGTATTGAATAAAATGTTCTCCAACACTAGCAGTACATTTTGTCTATGGAGAACATTTTCAGATACTCATATTAGGGAATGATACAGAGATAATATTGAATTTTCAGAAAAAAACCCCAAAACCCAAACAGGTTGTCTCTTCTTAATTTCAAAATATAGTTAGGAGTTTTCCTGAAAATGTCATTAACCCCAATAGGAAGAAATATTCCCACAGATGTTGATAGTTTTAGTTACCCTTTAGAGCATAAAATCCTGCTAAGAATTATGCTGAGTAGCTGGAAAGAAAAATACCAGACCACACATACCAAACGTACTATGTGCTGCTGGAGTAAGCTGACTGTACACAATTTTTACAAAATACAATAAAATTTATGTAAAACACAGAGCCATGCTAGCCTGTATCTTACTGTTTGCAGAAACAAGTCTCTGATATTGCTTACCAAGGTCTGCCCACGCTGGCTTCCTCCTTCTGGGCAAACCCTCCCTTCTTTGCTTGTGTTATTGATTGACTTCAATACCATAGAGCAGAGCAACCAGCTGAGGCTGGGTTCCACTGCACTAGTCTCTGTACAATGCACACAAGAGCTGGACCCCTTGCCATGTGTGGGCAAAGATGAGGAAGGGATGAAATGAGATGCAATCAGAATTGTCGTTGCGCAGGTCATGAGTTTCACATCAGCACCACAAACATATTTTTCTTTTGCTTCCTTATTTGAATTGCCCACGTGGAAACGCACTGGGAAGGGGGTTGCTGGGTGTGAAGTCAGGGACAGAAAGGTTAGAGGTGCCAAGGATACCAGGTGGGAGGGTATGGCCTCTTCCCCAGGGAGCGGATGCTGAGTGTGAGCAGCAGCTGTGCTCCCCGGAGCTCCCCACCTCAGCAGCCCCTCCTTGACAATCCTCCTTGTGGTTTCTCCCCCCAAAGCCTAGCAAGTGATGAGAAAGCAAATAGCCTATGGGTGCCATTGTTCTAGCTGCTGTCTCCTCCACCTATTTCTGAGTCTGAGGGAGAGCAGGGACCAAGCTCTGCCTTATCTTCTGGACCTGAACAAAGCTCGTGCAGACTTCTCTATTCCTCCTACCTACCTTTACCATCAGAACAGGACTACTCCCTGCATTTATTCTGTCTTGCTTAATATTCACACCAGATGGACCACTACTGCCAGTGCCAGTCCCACGCCTGGATATCCCCTGCGAGGAGCTGGGGGGTCAGGGTGGGAGCACTGATGCTGGCCTAAGGAGATAGCCTGTCTGCAGGCTGGGGGCCCCACAGCCTAGCACCCCTGCACTGGCTGAGCACAGGGTGTCCAAGGCGCTGGATGCCTTGCAGGAGCAACTCCATCCTCTCTATCATGGGCCTAGAAAAAGGGCTGCAAGCAGGAAAGGAGCACATCTTCCTTCTGCCCCCTCCTGTGGTATTTTTGGAGAGCAGGAGCAACACATGCTCTTTAAACTCCCTACAAGCAACAACTGCCATTATGATGGAAAAGGACACAGGCTCTCCCCATGTTGAGTCCCCTGTGGGGCTGGTGGCTGCTGCCCTCCTAACCTGCCCCACTGTGCACAGGAATGCTCAGGGCAGCACACCCGGGGCCACAATGCTCCTAAGAAATTTCTTTCACCATCCCTTAATTTTATAAGGAAAAGTACATTCCCCTTATCTCTGGGAGAAAAAACACAGCGGGCATTTTCCACTCAAGCCTCTGGAGGCTATGTATGCATGTGATATCAGAGCTGGCTGTAAAGTGATTCAAAAAGCAGCACTTTTCTGGCTTTTTTTGCAGTGTTCTTTTGTTCTGCTGTAAGAGAACAGAAGTGTCCACCTCTGGTAAGCTTTAAAATAGTAGCTCATTCCTTTTCTCCCCCTTTTGCAATATTGTTTTGCTGTTTGGTTTTCTCCCATCATTCACATTTTAGTTTTCATTTATCTTCGAGAAGCATTCATGTTTGGGTGCTGTTCCCCTGGAGAGGGCCTTCCTCAGGATAGCTCTGAGTGTTGCTGCTCTGCTAGAAAGACCTCTCTTACATGGGGCTGATAACCCAGCCTTCATCCCCAGTGGCAGCCTGCTGGGAAGCTTATTCCTTTATACTCAGGGTTGTGGTTAATTTAATTATTTTTGTATTGTTCAAGAGCTTTGTCTACAAGCTGATTTCCCGTAACCATGCACTATACCACTGTGTAATATACAAATGGCTTAATCATGCATCTGAAACGCATTTTCTGTACCTAAATTATCAGACAGGCCACTTACTCGCACCAGAATTTAGATATCTAATCTCTTCTGACAACCTAAACCAGAATTAAATGCTGTTCACTGGGAGGCAAACTGGAGAACAATGACACTTGCCAGCCCTCATTCCCATCTTTGTGTGCCACACACACTTCAGCCTTTGCCTGGCTTTAGTCCATGCTTCAGATGAGAGGTCACTCAAGACAATAGAAGACAGGCTCCAGGCAACATAGGACATTTGTAGCTATTGTTTTAAACCACGTATTTTACATAATATATTTACAAAAAAGGCAAAAGACCCCGATTTTGTCCCCTGAGTGGCTGTCTTTTTAGCAAAAGCACTCATCTGGCAGCTGCACTCCTGCTCCCATTAGTCTCCTGGAGCACAAAGCCTCTTATGTTTGGCCAGAAGCTCTGAATGTTTCTGCAGAAATACCAAACAACAGCGTGTCCTGGAACCACCAATACCAAGGAACTCTCCCTAGGTAGGTAGAGTGCTCTAACAGCTTGGGCTCAAGAATATCTGGTTTGTACTCTTGATGGTGTCACTGACTGATGAACTTCAGCAAGTTGCCATTCTTGGGGTTGTTTTCTTTTCTATTGCTTGTCTCTGGAAATGGTCTTGAAGGGTAGGATTTGTTTCCATAGTACTTGGCAAAACTGTCCCCAAACGAAGCCTGTTTCATATTCTAGGGAGACAGAGTTATTTTAATATTGCAGAATATTGTAAAGACATGTAAGATATCCAAATGCACTGAAATGGATCTTAAGAAGATACCACTCTGATATTTCATCACAGAAAAAGGCTAATACATGTCACCCTTTGAACTGTAGGATCATTTGCTGACAAGAGAGGGATTGCCTGCTTGTATTTGATTGACTTGTCAAATTAACAAAATCCTTTTAAATGCAGATCACCACAGGGTCTCATTAAAACCCAAGCATAGTCCTCAAAGCCTCATATCCTCTCTTCTGACACTTCTCGGGTCCACCTGAACTGGTCTAATTTCTCAGGGCAGGCTTTTCTAGAAACTTCTCCTCTCAAACCCAACACTGCTGTCCCTGCATGGGTAGTATGATGTAGGAAGCAAAAACATCTGATACTAATTCAGGGCTAGGGCCTGCTGGTTCCTCATGAGTAGCATCATACTGTCTGAGTAAATGCATTGATGGCCACTGAGCTGGTTAAGAATATGCTGTTATTCACTACAAACAGGTAGGAAGTTTGATCACTGTGGGAGCAAAGTCAGTGGGCAGACATCGAGAAGTGCCTAATGCTAACACCTGGAAAAGTAAAGGAAGACATTCAGGTCTGGTTCTGGTTTACGTTACCGCAAGTTACAAATCCCTTTCCAATGAACTTATCTTTAGAGCTGTAAGTGTTAAAATGTAAAAGAAAAAGACACAGTTTTAAGAAGTTCATTAAATTAGTTCCTTTGCATACTAGGAAAAGAACAGACTGAATTTAACTGATACAATGTTTGGAATAATCCCACCACCATAGCTTCCAGCTGGGTGCTGAGGCCTCTCCCCCCAGCAAAGTCACTGGAGACATGAGCTCCTCCAGGCAGTGATTCACCACACCCAAGGTGGAAGCCTACAGTTCCACATAGGAGGTAGGGATGCTAGAAAGTACACCCTAGTGAGCCCACATCCATCCATCAATGGCATATGCATTGCTTATGGCCAGGTGGGATACAGCTGGTTTTAGGCACTCTGACCTGCAGTGTCATTCCCAGAACCTGAGTTTCCTACTTGAATACTTCTCATATCAGCTCCAGCATCACAGGGACTTGCCAGGTTACTTTCCAGTCTACTTGCCTGTTTTTCCCAAATGACTCCCACCTCCCTGGCAAGAGACCAGCTTGCAAATGATTTGGAAATCTGCCTC